ATTAGCATTGCATTATTATATACTTTATTATAATACAAATTATAAGACTAACTCCGATATATTGTCGTGTTTATTAGTCACGTTGAATTGATCAAAGCAGTTAAATCTTCTGTTTATTTAGCAACCAGGCATTTCCTGGGTTTCAGCGCGAGAGCGCCCTCTGGCCTTCGGATGGAGATTTACTGCTGATCACAGAACCGTGCTTTACTGAAAGATACGCATGACAATCGCAGCTTCTGCCTAATCGTGAATTTGCAATTTAATTTCGATTAATTGTGCAGCCCTAGTTTTTATTGAAGAATGCATTGTGAATGAATGAGTGGTTTTTGATGGCTAATGATTTGTATAATTTTGTCTCTTTCCAGCCTGAGATGATTGGTCATTACCTTGGAGAGTTCTCCATCACATACAAGCCTGTTAAACATGGTCGTCCGGGTATTGGAGCCACTCATTCTTCCCGCTTCATTCCTCTGAAGTAAAAAGTAAATAAAAGTCTCCAAAGCAGACTCTGACTTTTTTTCTTTGTGTAAAAGCTTGTCTTGCTTGGCAAATAAAGGTATGTGGTTTATTTCCATACTGAAAATTCTCTGCTTTTCCTTTCGTATGCCTGTGAATCCAAGCTGCAGATCATCTGTCAGTGTTTTTTTTGTCAAATCTTTAAATAAATAAAAAAGTCATTGTTTTTGTCTTTAAAGGACTTATAATTAGTTAAAAATGAGACGCTATTGTTTAATTGTTTTCATTTTTGAATACTGACTAAGTTCTTCAATAGTTATGATGCTAAATGCCCATTTCATTAACCTGCTGATTTACCTGAAATGCATGTTTCACAGCATTCAATCAGGGTTTCGGCAGGTCTTGAAGTCTTAATTCATGCCTTTACAAATTAAGGCATTAAAAGTCTTCTATACATAGTCATGACATTGTTGCAAACTTTGTGTAAAATGTATTAAAAAGTAATGGTGATCAGTTGGAATTTGCATCTTCAAACTTTGAAGTGTTGCTAATACAAAACATATGTAGAGAATATATTCATGTATGGTATTCTATTACATTTATTTTATTTTCATCATTGCTAAAAGGTCGTATATTTACCATAAAACCTGCAGAAACCATATTAAAAAGTATGGACTGTAGTAGGTAAGCTGATTTGTAAGAAGCAGATCTAGCTTTTTATTTTAGACAATTTCAACAACAGGGTTGGAGTACTTAAAAATAAAAAGACAACCTAAACATGAAAATTTCAAAAAACAACTGCTTTTCAAGTGACCAGAACAATACTCTGCTGAATAACTCAGAAATTGACATCATCTGATATTAGTTAAATAAAATAAAGGCTAGTAATAGCCTGAAATACATAAAATAGTTCAATCTTCTTTACAGTAAATGCTTCCAGTAACAGTATTGCACTGTCATGTTACAGAATTTTGAATATTTCATCTTGAGGTTATTACTTTTGGGCTGACAACGTCATAGGACGTATTAATCCCATTTAAGCACATACAGGTGCATCTAAATAAATTAGAATGTCGTGGAAAAGTTCATTTTATTTCAGTAATTCAACTCAAATTGTGAAACTCGTGTATTAAATAAATTCAATGCACACAGACTGAAGTAGTTTAAGTCTTTAATTCTTTTAATTATGACTTTGGCTCAAATTTAACAAAAACAAATCAACATGCCAATCAGCTAATCAACTCAAAACACCTGCAAAGGTTT